ATAACAAATTGCATATTCATAACAACTAAGTATATATGTCGTAGCAGCCTAATACTAACATAGCCATTGTATCTTTCACATGGGAAATTATATTCGAGAAAAATTTACAGTAAAACAAGAATTAGCTATATAACATTATATACAACAGTGTATTACTATCGTTGCGGAGCCTAATCACCAAACAAGTAGTTTTGCACCGCCATTGCAGATATGAAGCCTGAAAACCAAACAATAGTCTCTGAACTGCTATCACAGCCATGGTGCCCAAATACCAAACGGAAGGCCCTTGTATTGCTCTCGCTATAGAGTCTATTTATAGGTTCTACCACAAAATCCCGACATCCAAAATCTCGAAAACCATAATCCCGACATCACGCGAAGTGACAATTAATATTTAAAGATTAGTAATCACATTAATAATCAGACTTTAAATTTTTAACTGTCACATTGCATGATGTCGGGATTATGGTTTTCGAGATTTTGGATGTCAGGATTTTGTGGTAGAACCCTATTTATGAAACAATGGGTCCTTTCACTACTATTATCGTGAAGCCTAATTTAAAGAATGAGGTTCTGCATTGCCCTCGTATAGAATCCAGAACGGGCCAGCCTGCAGGCCGACCCGTTCTGGACCACCGTGGACTCAACCACCAAAAAAAAGATCCTTGTAGTCTATCACCTAATCATCAAATGAAAGACCCCGTTTCACTATTGCCACAAAGCCTATGGTGTGAGCACCCTAGTCACATCAATTCTGTACTATTTCAGGAGATATTGTCTGTGGTGAATGTGCATAACAACTAATTAGCTTTAAGTATGCGCATGACATTGCATGTGAATCTTTTTACAAATTTGCACTTACCCGTTGAGGAATAATGATTTTGGATGTTCAGAGTGCTCGCACTATACTCATGAAACAGTAGGTCCTTGCATTGCTATTACTACAGAGCCTAATTACAAATACAAGGTCCCTCTGCTTTACTCTCGTAGCCTTGGAGCCTAATCTCCAAATGAAAGATCCATTATAATCAGCATTGAACGTTATGTTCGTTATAAGAGGCATGGTATACTTGTACGAGATAAATGAATGTATAACAATGATAGAAATATAATATTTAATAATTAATAAATATTATTAAATATAAAAAATTTTAGTGTAGTGTCGATTTTTATA